ACCATCTGTTAACAGACAGCAGAGTGAGTGTTATAGGTGTTTTCCTGGGGGGCTATAGGATTCACTGTATATTAATTTTCTTCTCAAATGTCGGGTTTCATGTTTCTAACTGTTCCTTAGGCTCCTTCAGTGCAGGAACTTTTGTTTCTTTGCATCCCTGCTGTCACAGAGTGGACCAAGAAAGTTAATGTAAGCCAAGAAGTTGTAGGGTTGACAGGAAGGGACATCACCAGGGCTGGAGTCCTTGGTGTGCAAAGCAGATGTTAATAGTACTCAGTGTCACTAGGGGCCTTTGTGTCGATTGGCCCAGCTTCTGAGTGCCTGTTCTGTGCAGCACAGTCCTAGCCTCTGGGGGCAGGGGATTAGGGAGGATATAGAAGAACAATAGGAAATACCCATCGGTGTTCTCAGAGTCTACAAGCTGTACATGAAACCCCAGCTGTTCAGTGCAGTAGGAAGTCCAAAAAATGAGCCTGGGAGCAGGGAGCAGAGAAAATTTTGGTGAAGTTTTCCCAGAAGGGAGTTGAGGCAAGAATGAGTATGGGTTGAGAGTGGGGCTGTAGCTGGGGTGAGTGGCAGAATGTATGTCCAGAGTTGGAGGAATAATCTGGGGGGGTGCTGGGTGGTAGAGTGAGTGTTGTTGGGAAGGCAGAATGGGACCTTGGCTGGGGAAGGCCTGCCCAGGTGAAGAGGATAGACGTAACAGAGTCAAGAATCATGGGGATGTTCTTTAGCCACTAGATGTTGTGGCAAAAACATTCTAAGAACATCAGCTTGGTCTTGGCATACAACCTAACTTGGGGGAAAGGAAAAAGACAGGGACCCCAGCTAGGAGCCTGACTGTGATCCACATTGTGAAGGGCTGGAGGCTTTTAACTGGAGTTGGCTGGTGGGGAACAGAGATTCTGAGGAGCAGAGTTGCTGTGGAGGGTGAAAGAGAGAAGGTTCAGTCTCTCCATTGGGATATGTGGTTTGGTATGGCCCCTCCCTCACGCAGGAGGAGGCAGGCCAGGTCGGATTGGTAACAGTGTGTTTCCAGGTTGACTCTGCACTCAGTGGCATAGCTAGCACCAAAAGTCTGCTCTCCGCCTCTGGGTCCACTTTCCACCTCTGGGTCCACTGCACTGATTGCAGGAGGCAAGAGTCAGGAATAAGTCAGTTTAATATACATCTTATTTAAGTCTGACATGATAGGGGCCCCACTGTAAATATGTCTTGAATTAGTTATAACCTCACTTCGGGTAATTTTATGAGACCATATTTCTTGAATATGGATAGTTGGTGGCTTTTGGTTTTAATGAGTGTTGGCTCTCTGGTATCATTAGCCTAATGTGTCATACCATCCCCACTTTGTGGATGAAAACACAAGCGTCTGAAGCGTTGCGCTCAAGGTAGTAGTAGCTGCAGAATCCCAGCCCTGATCCCTAGACATCATCACCTCCACCTCCAGACCAGCTCAGTGGCTCGTGGAGCTGTGTTGGTTGGTACTTGAGATAAGCCCACTTTGAGAGTTTGGAGGTTAGACCTTCTTTCTTTCATTTCCCTTCTAGGGAATGAGCCTTGCTTTCCTTTTAAAATGGTATCTGTGTGGGGAAGGAGCAGTGTGTTGTATATAACTAGAGGGCTGAGGGAATCTGGGGGTGAGCAGGAGGTTTAGAGACATGGAGAGGAGAGTTGTGTTTGCTGCAGCCTGGCTGCTCTGGGCCTTTGCTCTCCAGAAGGTGAAGAAATACGGTCCACATCTCACGTCTCCAGCCCTTCTCCAAGGCAGAGCCGTAGCTGAGCCCAGCAGACTATACTCTCCCTCTACCTGGGCCTCCCAGTGGCTGCCATTTCCCAATGGATGCACCAGAGGAGCCCCATCAGGGGCTCAAATAAGAGAGGGCCACCCTCATATTACACGATTACAATCACAGGCCCACTCAGAATAGCTTACTTAATTTGCTGTCATGTTGCCCCCACCCCATGCTCTAAATAGGCCACTTGGCCCCAAAAAAATGTGCTGTTATTAAAACACTATCACATTTTACAGAGTTATCTAACCCAGGCTTTTCCATGTGCTGAGATACTGATCCCCTCAGCCATCAAAGCAGCTGGGCAGGAGTGGGGTGGCCACAGCTACCCCAGAGGGGCCAGCTCCCACTTACTGTGCAAACATTATTTCTGTATTTGTCAGTCATGAAAAATATCGAGAAGTCCTGGGCTAGCAGACCTTCATGAGCACAGTCATCCATTAAGCAAACCTTGGTTGGCACAAAATTGGTAAACCACACAGGCTGTGGCTGCGAGCAGTGTTTGGCCTGCCTCCTTCTCATTTTAAGTTTCTGGGCTTCTGTGTTGTGGCTCCTCCAAGACAGGAACGACATAGCTTGTTGCTTAAAGGGTCACAGCACAGATGCAGCAGCCAGCTGCCTCTTCAGTGCTTGATAAATGCTTGTTCTTGCGCTCTTTATTCCATGACTTGTTTAGTAAGTGGGTTTCCCTGATGCCCTGAGTAGCCTTCTAAAGGTTGGGTGGCCTTTTATCTGTGTGGTCACAAAGCTGTGCTGCCTTGTCTGGTGGTGTTTGCACCCACAGGACATACTTTTTCATAGCACTTTTATGGGTTTGTAACAGAACTAGGAAAGTAGGGCTACTTTCTCTGTCCCCCATAGCATTTTGTGCACATCTCTGTTAAAGGATATCTTATTTAGTTTCTTTCCACATTATCTTCCCCACTAAGTTAAGCACTGCTTATGAGCAAGATCTTGACTCGTTGCTCGATAGCCTCTGGATTCAACTTCAGGCCTGGATCGACCTAGGCGCTTGGTAAATGGTTGTTGAGTAAACAGATGACTAGAATAAATGGCTTTGTGAGAGCAGCACCAGTGTCTGAATTAGGTGGGTATGCCAGGCTCTGCAGCCAGATACTCATTGTAATGTTTGGTCATAATAGAAAACACACTCTGGCATAAGCTGTCCCAGAAGCCCAGCTATTTTCCTAAGCAAAAAATGCCTACAGCTGGGTCCTCTGCTGGGCAAAGTCCTTACCTCCAGTTTCTTTGTCTCTCTTGTCACCTCTGAGAGCCCTGGGGTGCAGGGACACTCTCCGGCAACCTGACTTGTGTTCATTCGCTGTCTTCCAGGCTGATTCACCCCCCAAGTGGCCGTTCCTACCACAAGGAGTTCAACCCCCCAAAGGAACCCATGAAAGATGATGTATGTAAACTCGGGACAGGAAACTGCCTTTTCTTCCCTTCCCTTCCTCTTACTCCTTTGCTTTCTTGCTTTTTTTTTCCCCCTCTTTTTTTGTTATTTCCATCTTCCCTTCACTTCTACTAGTACTACTAAGTTAACTATGAGAAATGTCACTACAGGGTAAATCACATGGGTTGTGGCTCCTCTATACCATGTCTCTCCAGGAAGTTTTCTCCTTGACCTTGAGGTAGCTACCAGTGCCAGCTGCTTCCCAGTGCCGTTTGTACCTGTCTTTTGTCCACAGCAGCCCTTTTCTGACATTATGGTGACCTGAACAGTCCACTGATCAGGAGAAGGCTGTTTGGAATCCCAGAATTAGAGCCAAAGATGGGAGGGTGGTACTGAAAAGAAATTTGTTGGCCAGTCTTCTAGAGTCTCTAGTGACTGTGCCCTGCAGATTCAGAATATCTGGGCTGGATTGACTTTGCCAAGTGCTTCAGTTGCTTGCAGATGAAAAAGGGAGAGTCTCATACATGTTCACTGTAACATTGACCACAAGAAGTCCATTTCATCTGTTCTAGAGCATGTAGGCAATGTGTAAGAATTTCCTGGATTTACCTTTGTCATTTGAGACAAGTTAATCAGGTCCTACAGGTTCCAAAGCCATACATCATGTCAGCTTAGTCACATTTCACAAAGTTGGTAATCCTGCCATGCAGTATACTTTCTCACTTCACTTGCCACTTGCAGTATGTTGATGGCCAACACCCTGGTAAAACACCAAATACTCAGGCAACTAAGGTTATAATCACTAATATACCTCTGATTTTGATGTATTCTCTTGGTCTCAGGGGCCTCTCTTTCTTGCTTCTGATCCTAGAAGTATCATCTTGGAAGCTGAACAGCCTGAGCAGAAGCTATTAGAGAAAGACATTGCCCACCTTCTTCTCACAAACCCCTTTTCTTAACATTTGCTGCTCCGGGCTCCCTGCCTTCTCTGGACCAGTTGGTCTGCTCCTGGGACCAACTTGAGGGAAGTAGCGAAGTTCTTTATAGTTCTTTATTGGAGAGGGTCCAGATTGCATTTCCCGCTGATGGCTGTGGGATCAGACAGCATCTCAAATCTGCACCTGGCATCAGATAAGGAAACCTTGCTCACTGTCCTAGCCTTTCATTGCCCTCTTCATGTCCTCAGATCACTGGGGAACCCTTGATCCGCAGATCAGATGATAATGAGAAGGCTTTGAAAATCCGCCTGGAGGCCTACCACACTCAGACCATCCCACTGGTGGAGTACTACAGGAAAAGAGGAATCCATTCTGCCATCAACGCAGCCCAGACCCCTGACGTTGTGTTTGCGAGCATCCTAGCAGCCTTCTCCAAAGCCACATGTAAAGACTTGGTTATGTTTATCTAATGTTGGGTCCAAAAAGGAATTTCCTTCTTCTTCCTATTCCTGTTTCCCTGTTGAGGAAGTGGGTGGGAATGCCAGAGCAGACAGAAGGAAGCTTCCTCAGGCCAGCAAGAATATCATTTGATGTATTGATTAAAAAAGCACTTGCTTGATGTATCTTTGGTGTGTGTGCAACTCTCATCTCACCTGTGTGTAAGTGTATGTGTGTGTCAGTTTAAGTATGTGTACACACTCCTGTTTTCTAAGTTATAGGCAAGTTTGCTTTACCAGCTGTTTACTTCTTTAGCCATACTCTTGATTTTATTTTTTGACCAAAATAAACTAATTCAGGTATCTGCCAGGCATCACTCTTCTAAAACCTCATGGTATTTGTTCAGTCTCCAGCAGCTGAGTAGAAGTCCATGGTCACATGAAGTCAGGCAAGACCAAGTTCCTGGTGGCATATTATTGGCAGGAATTCCACTTGTTTTCTAGCCCACAGTGAAAAGCCACATGAGTCTGTGTGTGGACGGAGACAATTTTTCCCCTAAGTGGAAGGAAAAAGGCACTTACATTACAGATTCCAGAAATTACTGGGAGGGGGTATCACTATAGAAAGAGCCAGGCCAAGTTAGACTGTTTTTGTGACCTGTATCACATTGCTGTAAAGTAGGGGTCATTTGGGGCCTATGTTTGGAAACGGAATTGTTCCCAAAGAATTAAACCAGGTGGAAAGTCCTTTTNATATCGAGAAGTCCTGGGCTAGCAGACCTTCATGAGCACAGTCATCCATTAAGCAAACCTTGGTTGGCACAAAATTGGTAAACCACACAGGCTGTGGCTGCGAGCAGTGTTTGGCCTGCCTCCTTCTCATTTTAAGTTTCTGGGCTTCTGTGTTGTGGCTCCTCCAAGACAGGAACGACATAGCTTGTTGCTTAAAGGGTCACAGCACAGATGCAGCAGCCAGCTGCCTCTTCAGTGCTTGATAAATGCTTGTTCTTGCGCTCTTTATTCCATGACTTGTTTAGTAAGTGGGTTTCCCTGATGCCCTGAGTAGCCTTCTAAAGGTTGGGTGGCCTTTTATCTGTGTGGTCACAAAGCTGTGCTGCCTTGTCTGGTGGTGTTTGCACCCACAGGACATACTTTTTCATAGCACTTTTATGGGTTTGTAACAGAACTAGGAAAGTAGGGCTACTTTCTCTGTCCCCCATAGCATTTTGTGCACATCTCTGTTAAAGGATATCTTATTTAGTTTCTTTCCACATTATCTTCCCCACTAAGTTAAGCACTGCTTATGAGCAAGATCTTGACTCGTTGCTCGATAGCCTCTGGATTCAACTTCAGGCCTGGATCGACCTAGGCGCTTGGTAAATGGTTGTTGAGTAAACAGATGACTAGAATAAATGGCTTTGTGAGAGCAGCACCAGTGTCTGAATTAGGTGGGTATGCCAGGCTCTGCAGCCAGATACTCATTGTAATGTTTGGTCATAATAGAAAACACACTCTGGCATAAGCTGTCCCAGAAGCCCAGCTATTTTCCTAAGCAAAAAATGCCTACAGCTGGGTCCTCTGCTGGGCAAAGTCCTTACCTCCAGTTTCTTTGTCTCTCTTGTCACCTCTGAGAGCCCTGGGGTGCAGGGACACTCTCCGGCAACCTGACTTGTGTTCATTCGCTGTCTTCCAGGCTGATTCACCCCCCAAGTGGCCGTTCCTACCACAAGGAGTTCAACCCCCCAAAGGAACCCATGAAAGATGATGTATGTAAACTCGGGACAGGAAACTGCCTTTTCTTCCCTTCCCTTCCTCTTACTCCTTTGCTTTCTTGCTTTTTTTTTCCCCCTCTTTTTTTGTTATTTCCATCTTCCCTTCACTTCTACTAGTACTACTAAGTTAACTATGAGAAATGTCACTACAGGGTAAATCACATGGGTTGTGGCTCCTCTATACCATGTCTCTCCAGGAAGTTTTCTCCTTGACCTTGAGGTAGCTACCAGTGCCAGCTGCTTCCCAGTGCCGTTTGTACCTGTCTTTTGTCCACAGCAGCCCTTTTCTGACATTATGGTGACCTGAACAGTCCACTGATCAGGAGAAGGCTGTTTGGAATCCCAGAATTAGAGCCAAAGATGGGAGGGTGGTACTGAAAAGAAATTTGTTGGCCAGTCTTCTAGAGTCTCTAGTGACTGTGCCCTGCAGATTCAGAATATCTGGGCTGGATTGACTTTGCCAAGTGCTTCAGTTGCTTGCAGATGAAAAAGGGAGAGTCTCATACATGTTCACTGTAACATTGACCACAAGAAGTCCATTTCATCTGTTCTAGAGCATGTAGGCAATGTGTAAGAATTTCCTGGATTTACCTTTGTCATTTGAGACAAGTTAATCAGGTCCTACAGGTTCCAAAGCCATACATTATGTCAGCTTAGTCACATTTCACAAAGTTGGTAATCCTGCCATGCAGTATACTTTCTCACTTCACTTGCCACTTGCAGTATGTTGATGGCCAACACCCTGGTAAAACACCAAATACTCAGGCAACTAAGGTTATAATCACTAATATACCTCTGATTTTGATGTATTCTCTTGGTCTCAGGGGCCTCTCTTTCTTGCTTCTGATCCTAGAAGTATCATCTTGGAAGCTGAACAGCCTGAGCAGAAGCTATTAGAGAAAGACATTGCCCACCTTCTTCTCACAAACCCCTTTTCTTAACATTTGCTGCTCCGGGCTCCCTGCCTTCTCTGGACCAGTTGGTCTGCTCCTGGGACCAACTTGAGGGAAGTAGCGAAGTTCTTTATAGTTCTTTATTGGAGAGGGTCCAGATTGCATTTCCCGCTGATGGCTGTGGGATCAGACAGCATCTCAAATCTGCACCTGGCATCAGATAAGGAAACCTTGCTCACTGTCCTAGCCTTTCATTGCCCTCTTCATGTCCTCAGATCACTGGGGAACCCTTGATCCGCAGATCAGATGATAATGAGAAGGCTTTGAAAATCCGCCTGGAGGCCTACCACACTCAGACCATCCCACTGGTGGAGTACTACAGGAAAAGAGGAATCCATTCTGCCATCAACGCAGCCCAGACCCCTGACGTTGTGTTTGCGAGCATCCTAGCAGCCTTCTCCAAAGCCACATGTAAAGACTTGGTTATGTTTATCTAATGTTGGGTCCAAAAAGGAATTTCCTTCTTCTTCCTATTCCTGTTTCCCTGTTGAGGAAGTGGGTGGGAATGCCAGAGCAGACAGAAGGAAGCTTCCTCAGGCCAGCAAGAATATCATTTGATGTATTGATTAAAAAAGCACTTGCTTGATGTATCTTTGGTGTGTGTGCAACTCTCATCTCACCTGTGTGTAAGTGTATGTGTGTGTCAGTTTAAGTATGTGTACACACTCCTGTTTTCTAAGTTATAGGCAAGTTTGCTTTACCAGCTGTTTACTTCTTTAGCCATACTCTTGATTTTATTTTTTGACCAAAATAAACTAATTCAGGTATCTGCCAGGCATCACTCTTCTAAAACCTCATGGTATTTGTTCAGTCTCCAGCAGCTGAGTAGAAGTCCATGGTCACATGAAGTCAGGCAAGACCAAGTTCCTGGTGGCATATTATTGGCAGGAATTCCACTTGTTTTCTAGCCCACAATGAAAAGCCACATGAGTCTGTGTGTGGACGGAGACAATTTTTCCCCTAAGTGGAAGGAAAAAGGCACTTACATTACAGATTCCAGAAATTACTGGGAGGGGGTATCACTATAGAAAGAGCCAGGCCAAGTTAGACTGTTTTTGTGACCTGTATCACATTGCTGTAAAGTAGGGGTCATTTGGGGCCTATGTTTGGAAACGGAATTGTTCCCAAAGAATTAAACCAGGTGGAAAGTCCTTTTGAATTCACTGTCTTCTGAACATCCAGGCTGGGCATCTGAGAGCAGCCAATCTACTCCCCCAAAGAGACTGGGGTAGGTTTGTTTGTTTTTATTTTTAATGTTTGCCTCTGTTTCTAAGTATGACCATAACAATAATTTGGAGGTGATCTATTCTTGGATTCATTTTGTAGAATTTATTCAAACCCAGTCTCCTTCCAGAATGTGAAACCCAAATCAGATGTGTCCTTTTTAAACTCAAACCCTGTCCCTTCCAGATCTAATCCCCTTGCTTCTTAATGGTGGTGGCCACAGACTCCCCAAGAAAAGATCACCCAAAATAAGATCACCTGTGACAGTAACCAGCTTTTATTCCTCACCTCAACTCCTCGGTTATTAAGCATTCTGTGGGTTCCATACTGTGCCTTTTAGTCTCTGGTTTGATTTGTGGCAAACAGATGAATTAATAGACTGCTGTGAGGAACTGCAAAAACAGTAGCCTCTGGAAAAACCATTAGAAAATCAGTGGCAAGTCCAGTAAATAATGCTGCCTGCCACAGGCTAATCTGCTGACTCAGTGCAGTGGGCCCCACCTGACCTGAGCTCTCCTGCTGTCTGTGGGACTACCCAAGGCTTGTCCTCTGTCCACCTGGAAGCTGGGCGCGGGTGTGTGGCCCTCCTGCTTCCCTTTGTCTGGTTCAAGTGAGTGAGTGCTGGCTCTGCTCTGCCTTGTCTGCCTGGCTGTAAACTAACTCCACCCATTCTCAATGGAAACCCAATCTCATGTGGGGTGTTTCTGGGAAGCACATGGTTTCTGAGAATGGGCAAAGTAAAGGAGTGAAACCAAAACTATCAGCTAATGTCTAAAAAGGATCTGGGATTTTTCTCTGGGTGAGGGTGGCCTCATGAATTGTGGAGTGGACTCCCCTTTGACTGGGGAAAGTTGCAGGCACTTGGCCTCAAAGTTGAGGTCCTTGAATGTTTGCTAATTGGATGTGCATGATCCTTGCTCAAATACTTGTTATCCATCCATATCTGTTTCACATGTGCATGTGTGTACACACACGTATGTGTGATATTTGGGCTGCCAGTGAGAACTAGATCATGGGGTATGCAATGTTATTTTGGGGGTGGTGAGGATTAGATTTTTTGCTTCATTTAATTCCAGTGTTAACATCAGCAGGCATTAGAGCTTTCATGGCAGGGAAATGTCCAGTGTTTAATGCATTTGGTTGCTGGGGCATGCATGCCAGCCTTCTCTGATATTTACTTCATTTTTAAAAACCCATTTTGTCTCTCTTGTTTCCTCTCTATTTCAGCTTAGTAACAGAAGGCCAGGCGAGACTGCACCCCTGCTCATCACCCCGCGGCGTGATCCCTGCTGTTAGGTGCTGGGCAAGGGGGGAGGGATGGTCAGGGTGAGGGTGGAGAGGGAAGGGTGTGAGGGCCTCCAAAGGACTACTGGAAAAGCAGGGTGCTGTTGGGAGGCGGCTTCTGTCACACATAGTAGGAGTCTTAAAAAGTAGAAGTAAAGGGGAAAATTAATATTTTAAAAAACTGATTAGAGGGTATAAGTAGAAATAGGAAGATAAACAGTATTATTTCTAAGGAATCGAGTTTTTGTTGACTCTGAACTGGTGACAGTATTTTTTAAAGCCAATGCCCTGAAACCTCAGCTTTTATCTCAGAACCTCATGGGTTGCCAATCCAAGAATGCAGGAAATCGAACTCTCATCCTGTCTTCCTAAAGCTTGGAACAGTGAGGGTTCAACTACTGACCTTATACCGTGAGGTCAAAAAATCATCTACACATTTGAAACAGGTACAGGGTGTGTTCATGGGGGCAGCGACTCAGCAAATCGGGTTTACTGCCGCCATGGGGAAGGTGAGGCAGACTGGTCTCCCTCTCTGTCCAATTCGCTGTGGGTTTCTCGGGCGACCTGCTCTCAGCAGCCAGCCAGCACGTGCCACCCTGCTGTTGCTCTTGCCGTCTTCCATCCCTGGCCTTGGAAGGGACCCTTTTGGATAAATAAGCAAGTGTCTTAAGCAACATCATCCAAAGATTGTCCTTCCCATCCTCCAATCCTGTGCCTGGGATCGCTCAACAACACTGTGACACAGTATTTTCAATGAGGTGCCTTTCTGAACTGACCAAATGCTGCCTTGTTGGCCTCTGAACCAATAAAGTATGTTAAAAGTTTGTATCCCCTGTTGTGACATTTTTTTAGGGGATCTGGGCTATAGAACAGTGTTGAATTCTGGATCTGGTCTGGAAGCCCTTGTGGTCACTAGAAACTGGGAGGTCGGGAGACCCAACTGTGTGCTTGTAAGATGAGCCTGCATCTTCTTGCCCTTCAGCTCTGTAAGTCTGGGGAGAGGAAATCCCAGGGCAAAACACCTCTAAAAAACCGAAATCAGTCAAAGGGAGAAATAAAGTTTAAAACCTGTTTATTGCTTACAAACTGCAGTCCGGGCCCTTCTCTTCCACTCCAGCAGAGGCAAAACCAGCCCTCCTCCCACCTCTTAGATAGAGATAAGCCCTCCGTTGCCCAGGTAATTACCCATTGATAGGAGATGAACTTCTCTCCACCCCTGAGGAATGATGCAAATGCACTAAAGCCAGATTTCTCTCCACCCTTGAGAGCCTGTTGATATGCAGATATACTAAAGCCAGGTGAGGTATTCTGGAAATACTACAGTATTACCCACAAGCTCACATGCAGGCTTTTCTTGAACCCAAGGACAAGGCAGCTGGTTCAGTGGAGACAGCACTGAGCTTGGAGACTACAGGATGTACAATGAATCCCAGGCAATCATTACTCTGCTCCTGTTTTCCTGTCTGAAAAAAGTGGGGGGATGCTGCCTTCTCGGACTTACTAGCATTAAGTGAAGTTTTTAAGAAGTTTTGTGTTTGGTACCTCGCATGCAACAGACACTTGATAAATGTTAGTTGGATCTGAATATACCCAGAAGAATATCTGCTTCCTGCCAGGCTGGATAATTGTTGAGCGGACAGGTGTCCACAGCCTAGAAAGCCAGTGCTTCTAATCCTTAGCCAGATTTTTGGCTGTCTTTTCAGCTGCCTCTTTAACACCCTTGGTTCTTCTTTGTACATCCATTTCTTCTTCAGCAGAAAGGAGCTTAAATCGTCCAAACTGAAGTTCTGATGCTCTTTGGAAAGGCTGCGTTTGCCAGTGATGTTTCTGGGACATGACTGCTGTTCCCGAAACCAGAGGGAGCTGGGCTGGAAGCACCGCCGTTCTCCAGGCATCCATTTTCTGGAGAGAGGCAGAGTCATCACGGGCATATTGAATCCTGCTTCTTGAGCCCACCCCTCCCTCTTTTACTTCCCCACTTTCCCACCTCTGCAGAGTCATATTCAGGCATCCATATGACTTGCTCTGATCTTCTCGTTCCCTGAGCTATTTAAATGCCCCATGAAAATTTTCTTCTCTTCCTTGATCATCATGGGACAAATGGGGAAATATTTGTCAAACCAAACTGGGAGACCACGTGGTGTGGTTGAAAAGAATAAACTGAAAGAAGACCGGGTGAACTGTTACTCGGTTACTTCCTTGGGCTTGGTTTCCTCATCTGGAAACTGAGAGTGGATGATATAAGAACCACCATTCCTTCCGGGCTGATGACAAGCTCCGGACTGTGCAACAGCTTTATGCCCGTGACCTCAACTAGACCTCCATGAAGCACCCTGGGCAGTTGGAACTGTCATTCTCCAAGACTTGGTGCTGTGTGAGGGTCTCTATGTGCACAGTCACAGAACAGAGCAGCATGAAGAGCTGCCTTGGTCCTCAGGAAGCCTCACCAGCTTTTCTCTAGAAGGCAGCCAAATGAGTCAGAAGACAGACTTCCGCAGCAACAACCACCACAAGACCTCAGGCAAGTTCTCACCTCTTCAGAGTGAAAATGATCAAGTTCTCACCTCATCAGAGTGGAAATGAGCTCTACCGTCAGGTGTACTGACAGCCCTGATGACCCAAGTACTCGTGTGGGCCAGGATTCTCAGTTCACAGCAGATCCTCAGTATGTGCTGATGGAGTTCATAGAGAAAATGTAGGCTTTGGCAAGAGCTATTGTCTTTCTGACTGACGGTTCTTAACCTGAAGATTCCCTAGAAGTCCATGGACCTCTGAAATTAATATGCAAATTCTGTTTTTTGTATTTTTGTAATTAATGATAGTTTAACATTTAATGCTTACTGTGTGGTAGGTTCTGCATACTTTATTTCATTTATTCTTCAGCTGTGGAAGTAAATAATGTTATTATGTCCATGTTATGCTCATGCATTTTGAAGTTCATACATCCAGGAATGGCAGGGCCAGAGAACATAAACCTCATCTGTGGCTCCACACCCAGCCTCCGAACCACTGCACCAATTGCTCTAACTTTTTGCTGGGAAGGGAAGTATCCTTAAGGCACTTGTGATGTAAAGTCTACAAG